CCCTTCTCTGCGTGGGCCATTTGTTTCCTGCTGGGACCCTAATTGATCCAGTCCCCGTGGGCCTTCCCCCAACCCTGACCTGGTTCTATCTTCAGGTCACACCCCCACCTTCTTCCTGTGGCTGCAGGAACATGTGCGTCTGCGCCCTTCCCCAGAAGGACAGTGTTCACCCCTGCTTCTTCCCCGGGGCCTGCAGACTCTAGTTGGCCTTGGGGGGGCGGGGCCTTAGGAGCAGGGGAGGGGCCACCAAGTCCTTCCAGGTCTGGCTCAGTCCTCCGACCTGGGAGGGCTCTGGTCACTGGAGCCTTCATAACTGACTGCATCTCTCAAGGACATACGCCAGCTGTTTGCTCAGAGACAACGTGACCTAATCTAATCTGAATGAAAACGATTTTTCTTATGAGCGGGGCTGCAGCCCAGACCCACAGAAACAGCGGGTCTTCATTATTGGTCCTCAAATCATCAGGTTCAGATGCTTTTCCACCCTGCCTCAGGCCCTGGCAGCAGGAACAGAAGCACATAATAGCTTTTAGTGGCTCCCTGGGGAAGGTTACCGACTGTGATGAAGAGATTTTGATTCAGAATTTGGGGAGAGGGCATTTGGAGAGATGTTCACTGATGCTTCCTCGTTGATGAGTGAATTGAGAGGAGCAAACTTGCTTCCGTGGAATTCTTTCTGCTTCCCCTTTTCCCTCACATTCTGAATATAGGAGAAAGTCTAGAGTCCTAGGGAAAATCTTCAGAGATGGACCCATTCTGTTTTTGAAGGGTGATGGAAGTCTTCTTGCAGGAAGTTACAGGGATTTTTAGGTGGAGGGAAGAGTTTGTGCAAAGGCCCGCAGGCAGGAGAAAGCATGAGAAGTCTGGGGAACTGAACACAGGACTGCACGTTGCCCAGAGCTCAGATCCTCAGATCCTGACGATGAAAAGTCAGATATGGCACCAGTAAGGCCACATGGGTTGTGTAGAGCAGGCATCTGTTCCGGGTGGTTAGCGCCCTGACACAGGGTGATCTAACCCCACCGTGGCCAGTCCCAGTTTTAGCACTGAAAGGCCCATGTCCCAGGAAACCCCTTTCGTTCCAGACAAGCCAGGAGGCGTGGTCATCCTATGCTGTGATAGCAGTGAATTATTTTGGACATCACGCCTGCACTAACATACATGCACACGCATGCAGCGAATTCTGTGTGTGGATGTGTGTTCTTGGGTTCTTGCTGCGCAAGGTGATATCTTTAATGGTCCTCTTGCTCTTTGAGTTTTGAGCAGGAGTTTTAACTCAAACTGCGACCCAAGATGACCTCCCCTTGCCCTGACAGGTGAGAGTATTTTTTCATCAGTGTGGTCTCTCAGGCATCTTGAACTTTCTTTTCCTGCTAGCAAACAGAGTTTTCCCCAAGGATCTTTGAAGAACTCCCTTTCAGATTTTCCTGTTCGGAGGAAATTCCTTTTGAACCTCAGAAGATGGCTGGCTGTATTAAAACAAGCACGGCTACGATTGGAATGTTTGAAGACTGTTCCAAAAAATTGTGGGTTCGTTTCAGTTTTCATTTTAGCCCTTAACTTACATATTTAATAGAGACCTGATATCTGCAAGGATAGCAGATATCCCAGCTGACTTTGGCGGCAGGCAGAGGGTTCTTCCTATCTGCCACTCTCTGAGACAAACAGCTGTGCTCTGAATCTGTTCTGCAGGCAGCTCCTGTGTGCTGCAGCCCTGCCAGGACAACTCCTAGCTCTGAGGCCATACCTGGAGGCCTAGAATGTCACTGGACGAGCCCAACTAGGTGACGCATCCCAGAGAAGACTGTCATCACTCCTTCCTAGGCACATCCCCGACTCACAGACATCTGCAAATGGTTTGCTGTAATATGGACTCTAGGTTGAGTTCAAGGTCTGAATCTGCCTGCTTAACGGAAAGACATATTTGTGTTTGGACAATTCCTTCTTTGTTAGGGGCCCAACATTCACATATGACTCTGTGAGAACGGGTAATTACCTCCAAACTTGAGGAGTTATCATCATCACTATTATTATTAATTATTTTCATTTTGCTAGAAAATCAGCGCTGGGAACACAGGAGGATAAACTGCCCAGGTTCATATCCCCAGAAGTTCCTTTCATGCTTCACTCGCTCCCCAAGTCACATGTTCTATGTCTTAGCCTTTGCCAAATCCAGACCAATGACAAAAGCTGGAAGGTTCCCTCTGCTCTGGCCTGTTCATCAAGTGATATTAGCCTGCATTTTAATTTGTATTGTGTTTTCTAGCTTTGGTATCAAAATTAGCTGCCAACTTTTTCATATTTTTTTTTACACTCTAGACTGGTTTATGTGGTGTAGAAATGAACTATTCTTTTCTTGATCTATTCTTTTCTTGCCTTAAAATCATCCTAGTTCTGGTATACTTTAGGGTTTTTTTTAATCTTACAATTTCCTTACAGTTTTTGATATTTTAAGGTTTTCAGTGTAGTTCTGAGTCAGTTTTTTCCCTTGGAAATCATCTATGAGATCTAGATTTTTAGGTTTATTGGAGCAAAATTATACTTTATCTTCTCATAATAAAAAATAATCTTGTCTATATGCAAGGCATGCTACATTCTAATTTCTAATGCTGTTTATTTTGTGTCTTTTATTTTCTTCTCCAAAGTTTGCTTATTTTATTGGCCTTTCCAGTGTATTTGCTTTTATTGATATTGAGGGAGTAAGAGTGAGAAATGGAGTGAGAATGAGAGAGAGAGAGAGAATGAGAAGTAATATAAATTAGATCAACTTTATTGCCTTCTTTTGGGTCTACTTGGTCTATTTCTTAGAGCGATATATCAAAATCTCACATTTCTTATTTTACTATCAGCTCTTGCTTTATAGGTTTCACAGTTGTGTTTATAAGTACACAAAAGTTTACTACTGTTATATATTCCTTGTGGTTTGTATCTTTCATAAATATAAAAATGTGTTCCTTTTTAAAGCCAGCAAATGCTTCTTTCTTTACATTTTATTATTTCTAATATTAATATTGCAATATCTAATTTCTTTTAGTCTGTTACAAATCTTTTACATCTTTTTATTGCCGTCTTTTCCCCTCCATGTTGTGTACTTTTGTTTGCTTTAATGTCTGCTAAACATACAGCTACCTACCTCTCTCTGGTTCATGTCATAATTTTATGTTTTTGACTCAGTAAAGGGAAGACCGCATGATAGAGATCAGTGAAAGGGTTCACTTGCTCTTTGCTTCCTATCCTATGCAAAGCTCACGTAGTATCTAGGTATTAACCGTACTGTTGCAGTCATCTGCTTGAAGGTGGAAATCTTTAATCAACCCACGTAGTCCTGGATTCGGGGGCTGCGTTGCTAACTTGTGATTGCAGAGCAGAGGGACAGACAATGGAGGGGACTTATTCTCAGCTAACATGAATAAGCAACCTGCTTTGTATCTTTAGAAGCTTTTCTGATTTCTTTTTCATTTGATCTTTGGTGTTCTGAAATTCCTCCAAGAATAGTTTTCAATTTTCCTGCTTGAAATTCAGAGTCTTTCTAAAGACTTCAGCTCTGGGAATTTTTCTAACCTCCTTCCCTTTGATTTCCTAACTCACTAATTTACTCCTTGGCTCTGTCCGTTCTGCTATTCAGTCCATTGACTGACTTTTTAATTTTGTCAATTACATATAAAATTTTCACAGATGCAATATCTTCTTAAATCTTTCCAAATATAATAATTGTACTCATGTGGCAGGTACTCCATAGGTTTACAACCTTGCCTCTCTCTATTCTAGGTGTCATAATTTATAAAACCTTGCACCTGGCTGAGGTTATGAAATATAATTCCGGCCAAGTGTGTTGGTGCTGTCTTCTTTACTTCCTTCTTTTTCATTCATTGGATGCAGCTGTGTGGTCTGGGGTCCCAGCAGCTGTGTTGTGACCATTAGGACTAAAGCCACTCTTTTTTTTTTTTTTTTTGCGGTACGTGGGCCTCTCACTGTTGTGGCCTCTCCCGTTGCGGAGCACAGGCTCCGGACGCGCAGGCTCAGCGGCCATGGCTCACGGGCCCAGCCACTACGCAGCATGTGGGATCTTCCTGGACCGGGGCACGAACCCGTGTCCCCTGCATCGGCAGGCGGACTCTCAACCACTGCGCCACCAGGGAAGCCCTAAAGCCACTCTTTAAGGTGGCAAAGCAGAAAGACGGAAAGATCACACATCCTTGAAGGCATCACTGAATAGCTACATTAGCCTCGGGCTACCCCCTCCATCCTACTCTCTATATGACAAAAAAAGAAACCTCTAAGATTCAGTTGGATTTTCTATTAAGCAAAGCCGTTTGCCATCCCTGATAAACACAACTGAGTCTGAAATTCTCTTCTGATCGCTCTATTAGCTCATTTCTACTATTTTTATTAGGTCCTCTGCTTATTGAGTTTGGTTCTCCTCTCATGGTGTTGGTTTTCTTCAAGTGATTCTAATTCTTGTTCTTTAAGAATCCCTGCTTGCCTACCTGTAGAGATGACCTTGTCTTGTCAATGATGATTGTTGGGGAGAGGCAGCCGCCTGTCCTTGGTGTGGGACACTTATCTTTCCCATTAGTAACCAGCTGGGGCCCATTGCTGCTTTACTGGTACCCATCGCTGCCTTACTGGTACAACCCAAACCCTCCGCTATAACTGGTAAAGGCCACCACTGCCTGCTACTTGACAACAGTGGGTTGAGGGAGGGACACAGGAGAGTGGTCAGCCCTGCCCGGGTGTGCCAAGGCAGCCACCGGATTAATCACCACAGACTCCCCACACTCCTCCCCCATTCCCAAACTGCACTCCCACCACTTTTCTTTGATAAGATAATCCTTTCCCTGAACCGCTGCTGCCCTAGCAGACTTTTTCTCCTGCATGTGATAAGATGTGCAGTTTTCTCTTGTTATTATTGCTTTCAGTGTCCATCCAGTCTGTCTTCTGTATCAGAAACGTCTCAAACACGTTTTTCTACTGATGGTACTCTGTCTTATGTTTCACAGTAGATGCAGGAAGAGGCTGGAGAAATTTGCGTTTCTAATACGTTCCAAGGTGATGCTGAAGCTGCTGTTCTGGGAACCACACTTTGAGAACCACTGCCTTAAAATATGTCTTTCATCTAATGAACCTTTGGAAAACAGGTGCGTGCATGTGATTAGTTTACCTTATGGATCCGATCTCAGAAGTCTGGTTCATTTTAAACAAACTTTTATTTTCTGAAACCCAAGATTTTGATAATTGGGTATTCACAGCTGAAGGGAAGACCAATTAAAATGCTAGTTTTAAGTTACCCCCTCCATGCTTCCTGTCCATTTAAAACATTCCAGATCTTTCTATCACTCCTGAGTGATCTCTTCTCGTTCCCTTCCAGATCTCAGTGTTTTCACATAGTTCAAATGCTGAGTGAAGAAAAAAAACCCTGCTATGTCTGTGTGTGAGCCTAGTTTGATATCTTTGCATGTATGATCATGTAGTATTTATGGACAAAGAAGAATTTAGATAACCAAACACTGTTTCAGAAATCTGCATTTCTACAAGGATAAAAAGCCCCAAAGTGCTGTGTCTCGGGCACATTCTACAGCACTGTCTGCAATGGACTCAGATAATTTAATCATCCACTGAAGGCAAGTCATGTGTCATTTTCCCCAAGTAGCCACTGGTACCTGAGAAACCCAAACAGAAGGGGAAGGCTAAATATATAAGGCTTCCTTTTGTCTTGTGCCCTGTTTCTTCTTCCAAATTCATTTTCAGGCCCAGGCATACGATGACATGCTAGTTTTCAAGATTAAATGTTCATATCCACTTTCTACTGTTTTTCAAGAATGACTGTAAATGCGTGAACGTATTTAGAGGAAGACTTGCATGCATGTACCTGGATCATTAGGACACAAAGTATAATGTGCATATTCTATGCATATCATTTAATATGTGTGGTTTATTTTAACCTTGAGGCTTCTTCCTACCGTATAAACAAGACTAGTCTTTCTCCCTGAGTCTCCTTAACTTAAATATTTGAATGTGCTCTGAGGTTACCTTATTCCCAGTACCTGTCATTGAGTGCTGAGCTCAGACACTGCCTGTTTTAAGCTCTGACTAATTTAAATTTGCAAGTCATTATGACCCCCTTAAATTTGAAATGCACATTTCTTTAAGTGCCAAAATCACACTGCAGTGAATCAGCTTACATGTAAAGATAAACAACTTTAGAGTAAAGGAAATCTCCATTAACCAGTCTTGTATTAGCTGCAATCTGAACATATCACATGTATATTTTTGGCTGCAGCATTCCCACTATAACCTAACAACTAAAAATACTACCTGTGTGCTTGAGGGTAAGTTATGACTATCATGGGAACCATAATTTTGAATTTGATATTTGTGGGCATAAATCTCAGCTCTGTTTCTGCCTAAGCATTAACTTAGACAGAAAAACTGTTTTGGAAGCTTCTTTGCATATTTTAATGATAGCGGTTGGCCCGACTCTGAGCTGGTGCTAGTTTTCTTTAGATAGGGTTGTGTCTGAAGATGTCCCCTGACACAGGGCACCTAGTAGATATCACTCCGCTTCAGCAAGAGCATTGCCTGATTGCAGTGATATGCGGAGAAGGACAGATTGAATCCTCATTGATGCATGAGGATTTTCTAGGTGAAAGAAATGAAGAAAGAAGAGAAATTGCATCTTGGAGGTTTTTGTGCACTCTCTGTATACAAATTGTATTTATCTTGAGAACAGCTATGAGCATAAACCTTGGTGGCTTTTCCTTTTGTTTCCTTTTTGGAGAATTTAGAGCATCTAGTTATAGCCCTGGAAAAGGGGTTTACTCTTTCAGAAGACCAGCATCCTGACCTGTGACATGGAGGTGATGACACTTACCTTTCAGGGTTTTTGTGAAAACTGATGAGATAAAATGGGTAATGCCACACGTAGGTACTTCCTGAGGAATTGTTAGTATTGTTGAAGAAACTGAATCAAAGCAAGAGAATAATAGTTACCACAAGAGATATAAGCCAACTTGGAGCAGTGTGTTATAATCAACAATGCTTCAAAGAATGATTTCCAGGAAGAAATCACATTTAAAAATATACATATAACTATAACTGAGAAGGGAGAGAGAATGAATATTTATCTGAGCAATCACTTTGTGTTTTGCACTATTGAGGTATATTAGCTATCCCCTGCTACAAAACAAACTACCACAAAATGCAGTGGCTTAAAACAATCCACACTTCTTAATGCAGTTTCTTTGGGCTAGGAACCTGGGCACAGCTTAGGTGGAGCCTCTACTTCAGGGTCTCTGAAAGGCTGCAGTCAAGGTGTTGGCTAGGGCTGGAGTCTCATGTGAATGCTCTACTGGGGAAAGATTTGCTCCTGAGCTCACGGGGTGGTGGGACTGGGGACCTGGTTTCCCACTTGGTTGTTGTCTGGAACTACCCTCAACTCCTTGCCATGTGCGCCCTTCCAATGTGGAAGTTTGCATCATTAATGCAAGCCAACAAGGCTGTAGAGAAAGTCTGCCAGCAACATAGGGGGCTCAGTTTTATTAATCTGATCGTAGGAGTGACATCCATCACCTTTGCTGTATTTCATTGGTTAGAAGCAATGCCCAGGTCCCGCCTATACTCAAAGGGAAGGGATTATTCAGGGTGTGAATACGGGAAGTGGGGATGGTGGAGACCCTCTCAGAGTCTGCCTGCCATAGTAGCTAACATGGAAGTAATGGAAATTGAAATGAGAGCAAAACGAACATAGCACTATATGCCATACATTCTCCAAGCATTTACATTTGTTCATTATTCCTCCCAATCACCTGTGAAGTAGACCTTAGTATTATCCCTGTTTTGATCATGAACACTGAAGCACAGAGAGCTTAAGTGATTTGTCTGAGGTTACACAGCCAGGAAGTGGTAGAGTTGTGGTTTGGACCTTGACATTTTCACTCCTGAGCCCTTATTCCCAACCACGACTCTACGCTTCATGTACTGTAGAGCTCTAGACCATAAAAGTTATAAATAGTAATTTATTGACATATATGTTAGATTTTAGTCATTTCTTATTTTCTGTATTTGAAGGGGTTGTCTGACTAGTAGTAGCTTTACATGAAATGAGAGTGTCCTGGGTAGGTAAGATGATGTATTGCTGCTGCACAGCAGGTGCTCGGTCTGTGTTAGTTTCCTTCCCTTGTTTTGGTAGAGAATGGGCACAGCACAGTCAGGGTAGCACTCCTCAGGGCAGGCTCTGAATGACTCAAGATTTAACTGTGTTTCCGGATTACTAGCTTCCTGAGGACCGAAAGTACAGAGCAGTGTTTCCAGGGAGCAAAACAGTATCCCTAAGCTCCGGAGATGATATTAGGATGTTTGCTTTCAGAGCGGCACCCAAGTGGTATGTGAATAAGTCTCTGGCTTTGGGTGAGTGGATTTCAGAGACAGAGTGAAGCAGCACTTGTTTAAAGGGGGATGGTTTTGGCCCCATTAAAGCTCAGATACAATCCTCTGAGTGGTATGATAAATACGATGTGTGTAAATTGACCTCTGCATCCCATAAAGAGTCTTCTTCATTTTCTGCCAGGTTTACTCACTTCTGTCATTTTTTTAAAATCAGTTTACTGTTTTTATTTTTCTAAATATTTATTTATTTATTTATTGGCTGTGTTGGGTCTCTGTTGCTGCTCGCAGACTTCCTCTAGTTATGGTGAGCGAGGACTACTTTTCATTTCGGTGCATGGGTTTCTCATTGTGGTGGCTTCTCTTGTTGTGGAGCATGGGCTTCTAGGCGTGTGGGATTCAGTAGTTGCAGCATGTGGGCTCAGTAGTTGTGGCTCGTGGGCTCTAGACCACGTGGGCTTCAGTAGTTGTGGCTCACAGGCTCTAGAACTCAGGCTCAGTAGCTGTGATGCACGGGCTTAGTTGCTCCACGGCATGGGGGATCTTCCCGGACCAGGGCTCAAACCCATGTCCCCTGCATTGGCAAATGGATTCTTAACCACTGTGCCACCAGGGAAGTCCCACTTCTGTCATTTTGAGGCCCAGTTTCATGCTTTCTTTGCTACCCTCCCCCTTAATAAAACAGCATGGAGAGAGCTACGTGACTCCAGTAGGGAAGCTCTTCCTACTCAATTAAGAAAAGAAAGGCACAGCAAAGTTATGCCCTATGTTCTCCAAATGGTACTGTTCCTTCCTATAGGACATTTGATTACTAGAATAGAGCAGTTGCAACAGTACTTTTCATTTCTCAGTCATCTGAATATACTCTCTACATCTTCATTAGTATGGATAATTGAGAATTGAATATAAGTGACCACATATTCTCCATGCATATAAATGAGGTTATTGGTCATGTAGAAGGAAACGTAATTCATGAATTATTCTTTAACAAGACTTTAACAATTCTAGTCCATTAGTGGCCATTGCATTTCACTTGGAAATTAAAATCTGGTATCATCTTCGATGGCATAGTGGGTACCTTTTGGGATGCTGTTACGGACTGAATTGTGTCTTTCTGAAATTCATATGTTGAAGCCCTAACCCCCATATTTGGAGATAGGACCTTTAAGGAAATAATTAAAGTTAACTGAGGTCATAAGGGTGGGGTCCTAATCCAGTAGGACTGGTATCCTTATAAGAAGAAGAGGCAACACAGGTTTCTCTCCGAGGGCACACAGAGGAAAGGCCAAGTGATTAGCAAGAAGGCGGCTGTCTGCAAGCCAGGAAGAGAGGAGGTCTCACCTGAAACCACCCTGCTGGCATCTTGATCTTGGATTTCTACCTTCTGAAACTGTGAGAAAATAAATTTCTGTTGTTTAAGCCACCCGGTCAGTGGTATTCTGTGATGGCAGCCCTACCAGACGAATAAAGGTGTCGATCCAGTTAAACTCCCATCACCTGCAGCCCTGTCCTCACTGGCCATTTCCTTCCAGTGAGCCAGCTCCCACAGATGTGGCTGAGTCACTAGCAAGTGAGCCACATAACCCTGCGCCCGAGCACAGCCACGTAGCCAAGTGGTTCACCCTTGATCCAGGTTTGTCCTGCAGATTCACTCTCGTAGGAATTCAAAACAGGGACTCAGCAGCTCTGGTTAGTTTTGTTGAGATGCTTTAACAGAGTATTTGAAACCTTGGCTACGGTGACCTTGTGCATGCTG